GATTGATTGATAACGCTTAGCTCATTATCGCTCGTCAAAGGGAAATGCCTGACCGCAGTCTGTACATGTATCCGTGAGTATAAACATATTACATATCGTGCTCTCTCTCTCTCCCTCTATCTCTCTCTCTCTCTCTCTCCCTACGAGTTGCCCGACAGTCCTGGTTATAGCAATATATGTTTATGCATGATCGACTGACCAGCGCGTTGTACTCCATCCTAATTCATTTATCAAAACTATCCCCATTCCCATACTGGCCCTCCTCTCACTTGTCTCCAGCCATATCGTTTATAAACAACCACCATCAGCGGAAAGTATGCTATGCTCTTTCTCAAATCTGGCGACATAAACACAACTTTTACCACCATAGTATAGACCCGCTACTGACCCTATGACAGTAGGAGCCAATCAAAGCCCAATAATACCGACACGTCATTACCGCAAAAAAACTATCGGGACACTGGAAATGAGCTGCTTTGTACCGATATTGGCGCCTAACATGATCCCTTCCAGGAAACCCCTGAGCTCTCCGATCTCCGGGACAGTCTCCACATCGCGACAAAAAAGGCTCGTAAACCCCTGCTGGGTTTCCACAGCATGCCAACAAAAACTAGTGTCGGAGTTCGGCAATCCACAGTATGCTGCGTGACATGGCGTGCATAATGTGCACACACCCAAAACACACACACACACACACACACACACACACACACACACACACACACACACACACACACGCACATACATTTTTTAAAAAAAAAGGGGGAGGAGAAGCTCGGACAACCTTATACCCCCACCAGCTTCAAAAAATAAAAAAGTCACCCCCCGCAAAATAAATACTCACATAAGCTACAATATATACATAGATATATATACATATATATGTACAAGAGAGCCTTCTAAATCCAAAAAAAAAAAAACCTCCCTGTCTTCCCGTACTAACTACCCCCAAGAACCCCCTTGAGGCACAAATATAACACACACAATACCCTTCATCCTCTTGAACACCCTTCCCATGACCCTCCCACCCAAGTGGCATCACATCCTCAGATGCTGACACTAATAAAACAAACATACACACGCGCCGCTTAAAACTGAAACGACGCAAACAAGAACCCCCACGAGAAATCCGTAGATATGACCTGTACCCATTCGCACTGAACACATACCGTCTACATTCAACTCTTGCCTCTACCCACGAAACAGACAAAAGATATACACGCACTACCCCCCACCAGAGACAATACTTCCCCGCGGTCAAAATTCTTCAACTTAACGCATACAGGAAGAAACGCCACAAAACAACAACAAAAAAAGAAACGCAACCCACCACATGCACGTAGAACAAAAAAACGGGGCCGTCAGCACGCGCCGCCATAGCCATGCAACAAGACAAAAGCCAACCTAGCTCCCACAAAGTGTCAATCCCTCCACTTGCTGCGACGAACCATACTACCCACCGCCAATGGAACACAAAAGCATACCCCTGTACTAAGCTAGCACCCCCATCTGAACCCGCTAACCCCACACACTGGCTCTTCCCGCCCTATTCACCATCTCTTGTATGTCAATCAACAACACCCACCCCCATACCCCTCCCCCCACCTACTCTCCCTCCCATACCCACATTCCGTCCACACGAAAAAATAACCCCATACCCTCTACTTAAGTGCATGACCTACCGATGGGGATCCTCAGAACTCGGTGCATTCCGATTCGATCCCACTCATCGCGCTGGTCTCACAAACTCTCATCTTCATCAATTCCATGTTTCATGCTCCCCCATCCAAATCTCTACAGCTCCTTCCACTCTCCTCCTCCCTCCTTACCACCTTCTTACGCGGTGCCTGTGTGTGGAACTCTACCCACCATAGCCTGCGTCTGGTGTTGAGCATCGCCTCTGGTTGCCCCCACCTAACTGGTGGAAGTGCACACTACTTAGCGAGCCCATACCTGGTCAGCAGAGATAGTCCCTTGAAGCTGACATACTCTGCGACTACTGGCGATTGGCTGAGAACTTGAACGATGGCGCAGGGCACGAATGCAGCCCCCGGCATGAACATTGAGGAACACATGGTACGTTACCATAAGCTTTCTCTGTAATTCATTGGTTTTGTCTCTCCTCCTACACCTTCCCATCTGGGAGCCAGAGGAACACCACCCTCTGATGAGCCGTGACTGGCACAAGCGGCGAAAAGCGCTTTAGGGGATGCGCCACCCCTCCTCCATTGGCTAGATGGCCAATGTATGATGGTCATACCATCATTCGCTCCCACCTCTCTCTCTCTCTCTCTCTCTCTCTCTCTCTCTCTCTCTCTCTCTCTCTCTCTCTCTCTCTCTCTCTCTCTCTCTCTCTCTCTCTCTCTCTCCCTTGTTTGTGTATTGTTGGCCGCAGGAAAGATAATATGGCGTACCTATGGAGGAGGAGGTTATTACACAGCAGAGTGTGCATGTTTTGAGGATGAGACCAGGTACGGGTTCCCATGCCGTGGGTTGCTATGGTAGCTTTTTGCTTGTATACACACACACACACACACACACACACACGTGCGCACACACACGACACACATATACACACACACGCGCGCACACACACACACACGGACACACACACACACACACACACACACACACACACACACACACACAGACCGTTTTTCCATGGCGGCGCGTGGAATGCCTACCACTTTGAATTCGAATTCCTGCCGCCACTGCTGAAGGGCATCACAGAAAGATGTGTGCCCCTCGTGAGGGCATTTCAAGGACCGACCTACGAAACGCCATCAGCGGTCCAGTAAGGGCATATAGGAAAGTTACGCCCCATGCTGACAGGGGCCTGCGGAAAATTTCAGAGGCCCGAGGGGCACCACAGTGTAAGTCGGCCTTCACAGGGGCACGCCGCAAATAAACGCAAACTTTGGGGGCATTTCGAAAATTTTCCCTTCTTTTTATAGTTTTTTTCACAGTTTTCAACTTGTATTTTTTCAACACCAAACAATATGCGATTTGGAAAGAAATATATATGGGGTTGTAGGGTTTGAAAAACCCTACAACTCATTTTCACATTTTGTTTTTTTAATGTTTTATTTCGCCAGGGAAAAATCCATAAAACTTGTGGCCGCGGATTTGGGGCCACGGCCGCGGCCACAAACGTGGCCGACGTGGCCGCTGGTGATACATAGGGCCAGAATGCCCTTCCCTGGCTGGCCTCCTCCCTATATGGGAATTGCTGCCCTGCTACTGGACTGTCTGGGCCTGGCCGAGGATGTTTCCAGTAGCTTCCTGTCGGACCCACTGCACCCAGGCACATCCCTACAGTTACACCACCAGTACCCCAGGGGGTCTTAGGCCCCGTCTGGGGAGGCTCTGAGGCAAATGCATATGGACCTACGCGGCACACCGATTCAGCAACCGCGTTAACGGCCTAAAAACGTGGAGGTACTGGTGGAGGCCCCTTTCAGTTGGGCACACCCAGGATCCTACAGGCTCCCTGTGTTTGCTGTGTTTGCATTGGCCCGGGGGATAGGTGTGACGACAATGATGCATTCTCACTGGCCTGCGGCCACCTTGTGACGTGTCGGCCTCACGCTGCGTGTGCCCAGGGCGCAACCACCTGTGTCCTGGGCTCAACTGCTTGACGCAGCTGCTGCTCTGGAAAGAGCCCAGAGTGAGGCCCAGGTTGCAATTCAACCAACTGGCGTGCAGCAACTGTCTGATGCCCACATTCGTAAATGCTGAGATGAGGGCCTCTCGTGGATATTCAGGCCTGCCTTCACTTAGGGCGGGCACGAGGCTTGCTGGGGGGCCACAGTCCAGAACATGTGCATGTTTGTCTAGGGCCCCTGAGGACACATTCCTCACAAGGTGCAGTCTAGGGAGGAAAAAGGGATAGTGGGCAGGGATTCCCCCTGAAGAGACTGTGGCGACGACCGAAATGCATTGAGGTGCCATTAAAGTGTGTGCAATGCCTTTGCTGCACACATGCATGGAGAGATGAAAACAGGTCAAAACACATTTGACTACTCTGATGTGATATGATCTCTCTTTTTATTTCTTTACTTCTTTGCTGTTACGAGTAATCTTTTAATTGTTCATTTGTTATGAGGACTTGTCTTTCTGTGTGCATAATTTGCGTACTTGAGAGGTGAACGATTAGTGATATTTTGCACTCATCTGTAATACATGATTGAATCGTGTCTTCATTATCGTGAGGCTGTAATTCTGGGTTTAGCTGAAGTCGATGTTGGGGTTGTTTGTTCGTTTTGCTACTTTTGTGGTTGGTCTTCCGAAGTGGCGAAAGTTACATATGCTCACCTTGGACTGTAAGGTTGAATCATGTTCTCATCATCTTGAAGTGGCAAGTTGATGTCAAGCTGAAGTTGATAGCAAAAATAGATGATTATAAAACAACATGAGTAGAATGTGTGTTGCCAGTGCATGGGACCGAGTTTGCACTTGAGATGCATGAGTGGCCAACGGTTTGATGACAACTAGGTGAGCTCTTGGTTATCTAGCTGTTAACAGAAGTGATGAGCAGTTATTGAATAAGACGCAGGTATGAATGATGATGAATACTTGTGGTAAGAATAGAGAGAACTTTGGCATGTATTCTGGACATAGTATGATGTAAGGAGCGCCAGTCATTGCCCTACATGCTTGTACCTCTAACGACACAGGTAGGAACCTATGATCTTTGCACCTTTTCTTCTTTTAAATCGTTTTCCTTACTAAAGGCAGTAACGTTTGATCTTTGCACCCCCACAACTCGTTTGATTCTGAGTGTCGTCGCGTGTATGCATGGAGTTCCGTGTTGGTTTGAGATACCGATGGTTGACCATTTACAACACGCCCACACCCCATTTGTTCGGTGATGAGACTAGAGGATATGATAAAGTTTCACTTCAGGGCCTTCAGGCGTTTTGATTTTGTGGAGGGATCTGTCTATTGACAGCTTGGATGACCATGCTTACCAAATCTAGACATGTTTTATTATGCCACAGTCGAATGTTGGAAATCCACCAAAGGGCTTGTGAAGCTGAAGGGAGATATATTGAAGCTGATTCAACAAGAAGGAGAATTATCGAAGCTCGTGTCACGTATCCTTTATTAAGCTGGCGGAAACCAGTACACCTCATCGCAAATAACACATGCCCTCCCCCTGTTGTCTTTCCTTTTTCTCTTTGGCCTCCACCAACCACCTCTCTCTCTCTCTCTCTCTCTCTCTCTCTCTCTCTCTCTCTCTCTCTCTCTCTCTCTCTCTCTCTCTCTCTCTCTCTCTCTCTCTCTCTCTCTCTCACACACACACACACACACACACACACACACATGGGCATTGGGCACACACCAGATGCCACGTGTGACGTTGATCCTCACACCCTGCACGGGTGCACTGCCTTCTGGTCGGAGTGATAAGTTGTGCGGAATAGGCCCTGAAAGACAGCAAAATGAGGTGTATGGAGGGCGTATTCAGACTTCGCTTTTTCACACTAAACTTGAAAGGGGTTTGAGAGCGCGCATGGGGTGGGTGATACCAACCAATCAATCAGTCAATCAATAAATGAAAAACGGAAAGAAGTCCCCCAAAAAAACAAAAACACGTGTGTGTGTGTGTGTCTGTGTGTGTGCGCGCAGGGTTGGGCTACCCTCCCTCAATCATCAATCAATCAATCAATCAATCTGTGTGTGTCGATAACCAAAAACAAATACCGTTTTTTTTTTTTTTTTGAGTTACCCTGTGGTCATGACCGGGGCGTATACATAGGGGTGGACCCCACTGGCCGGCGGCTGGAAACTGGTGTTGGCCACAAAAAATGGCCGACCGTGGTTGGAAAAAGTTTGACGCATTTTGAAGGGACCCCACCGCAGACCGATAGTTTCGGCACTGGAAAAGGCATGGCATACCCGAATAGGAAACCGCCAAAGGGTGTTTCCCGAAAAGGCAAGTCGGGCGGGTGCTGTGGACCATGGCCAGGTACCGCACTGCTCCAGGACAAGTCCGTGTGTGGCCGTGCGCGACCTGGTGTGGCGGTTTCCGCACAAGTGCCGTGCCTTGCTGTGTGGCCCGAGCGGGTCCGCTCAGGCAACGGGAAAATACCGTTGGGGGCGTGGGTGGATGTCCCTCCCTGCCGTTGGTGGGAGGTGCCGTCCGAACCATTGGTAGCCGGAGTGCACTGAGCACAGGAGCACTGACGGGGAGCCATCGCCGGGGACAAAGGAGGACAGTTTGGTGAGTAGCACGGGTTCGTGAAGGTTGTGCGGTCGACAAGGCCAGAACAGGCGGTGTACAGGGGTTGACGACGTCGCCGTCACGGTAACGGAAAACGGGCCCTTGGGAATACCGTGCGACACCGCGAAAAATACGAATGTCCGCCACGGCCTCCGGTGACACAGAACGGTCCACGGCAAGGGTGCATGGTCCATGCAGTGAAGCCCGTGTTGTGACGAACCATTTTCTGTAATCGCGTGACTTTCAGCACGAAGCTGCTTTGAGGGAACGGGACGGGTTCGTAAGGCGAAGTATGTGGGGGTGGGTCGGCTGGGCAAGTTGCATGGATGTCCTCGTTTCTTTTTCGATTTTGTCGGGCCAGCATCAGGACAGGCCCCGACTAGGCAGTAGGAGACCACGCCTTAGCGAGCGCAAGAAATAACTGTTGCCATAGCTTCTTTCTTGTTCTGCTGGGGCGAAGGGGAACAGGAATTTTGGTGCAATGACCGCGCGGGAACATTGTTTTTCGTTTTTCAAAATTTTCTTTCAACTGATGTCGAGCCCCCGTGGGCTCCTCGGAATTGTTTTTCGAAGTTCTTTTTTTGTTCTTCGCAATTTTCTTTTTCCGCAATTCCGATTTAGATCGTAATTTAGGAACTTCGAAATTTTTGCTGCGACTGTGCTTCTTGCTTGCGCACGCCTATTGGCGGCGGGAGCAGAGCTCTGACTAAGTTGCGCCATTAATCTTGCGCGTAACTGTATCTTTTTGGTGGGCACAACTGTAACTATCTCTCTCTCTTCTTGACTCTCTCACCTTTCTTCCCGCTTTCTTCTTTCCTGCTGTGCATGCATCCTCCCTCGTTTTGATAGGCCGACGCGCTGCATGCCCGGATCAATGCCTGGAGAGTGGCTGTGACCCCCACGCCACGGCCTGACCATGCAGAACGTAGGCACTTCCCTTCTCTCCTCCTTCTTTCCGTCTTGGGCATGATCCCGGGTTTTTCGTGCAAACACGCATGCTATAAATTTCACAAGCGCGACTGACTCGCTCTCTTTGGATTTGGAAGGTTAGCATGGTCAGTGAGGATCGCCTAACGAGCAAGTTAGAAGGTGAGTAGAAGTGAGTCGGGCGATCCGACGGGATGGTGCCAAGTAAGCGGGGTTGACGTGCGGGTCACGATGGACTGTGGCGCACGGGCGAACCTGGCGTGCATGCTTGGACTAAGCGGGGTGACGACTCAGTGTTGGTGCGAGACGACGGACTGTCCGCATCGGAGGTGACGTGGTGCAAAGAGAGAGAGAGAGAGTGAGGAGCAGACGAGTGTGGGATCGTGACCGTTCTTTTCTTTTCCTTGTATTAAATTTTGGTCTCAGGCGAAAACCATCTTTCTTGTCTTCGATTTTTGTGCAATGGTGTCGCCTGGTGTGCAACTCTATTCTCCCTTCTCCTTCCTTGTTGACGGGTGTGGGTTGAATGCGTCAGTTTTGTTGAATGCGAGTGTCAATCTTGAAAAGGGTGTCTGACCAATGGATGTGCGTCGTCTTTGCATGAACGAGTGAAGCGTGAACGAGTGAGGATTCGATGAATGAATGTCCGCAATCTCACAAGAAACCTGATCACCGAAGAGTTGCGACGTACTCTGAAAGGAATTTGTGAGGCCGGGGAACTAATCAGTCCTTTTGATTTCATTGAGTATATCGGTTGGATGATGAACCCTTCGCAACCTTATCGATGCATGAATGGTTGGCTTGTCACGAGATTGCCTTATGATTATGCCCGGAAGTTGTCTTTTCTTTTGAACAGATAGTTGCATGACGAACCCTTGGGGAACCACGGGGGCACCTAAAACGACCCATCAACGGGAAGCGAGTCCGGTGGACGCGCGTGTAAGTACGATCGCAAAGACGCGTCTTCCACGCACGTCCACATGACTGGCCCCCGCAGTGCCTATGATGAAGTCAACCCTTTTTTCCAATATGGATGTTGAGATTCCCTTCTACGTCACAGATCGCGAGAGTCTGAGGCATCAACGGTTCCGGGAATATTGGGAACTGGAGCGTGCCTATCAAGCCGCGCGACCCCGGTCCCGCCTCCCCGAGTTCCCCTTCTACACGGGAACAGAGCGCGTATGTGAATGGGATATTTAACGGACCTTAAACGCGATTCCCTTCTCACCCCGATTTCCCCACTCGCACGCACGACACGTCATCACCGAACCAAGAATCGCCATCATCGAGACCAATTATCCTCCCCACCACCTCGTAATCCCCTTTCACTGTCTAACAGCGGTCCCTTGGTGCGCGATCGGCCCCTACTGGCCACGGACCCCGTGCTCGGAGTGTCAGCAAGACCGTATTTACCGCGCGGCGGGATTCGTCCGCCGGTCCTGAACTGAGGCGGACCAGCGATCGCACACTCTCCGACTGAGACCAGCCTCGTCAGACTCCAGAGTTTGCTACTAGCAGCGCCAATGGCTAACCAGCCAGCGCGACACTCATAGTGTCCGAAAGGTCCATCAGATCCGAGACCGACCACGATGCCGATGCTCACACCGACAGTAGCCTTGTGTCCCGAAGCTCCAGCTACCAACGCAACTCGGGATTACCATCTTGCTCAATTACCCTTGAACTGGCCACAAGGAGATCCCAGTTCCGACCTGGGACTCCACTACCATTTCCTAAAATCCTTGGCACACCCCTCTTTTGCACTTTCGGGCCCCCATCCCACTTTGATCAGGAAGTCGCGCTGGGCGTGAGGTTTGGGCATCACATCGTCTGGAAACTGATGGACATGCCCCCCGCCCTGCTCAACTGGCCGTCTCCTTGGAAAGGGTCTGAAAACCGGTCGGCGTCGAATTTCCAGAGCGCGGACCATGTAGAAACGCCCCGTCACCATTTCCGCAACCTCTTTCCAAGCGCAGTGGGGTCTGTAATTCCTTTTCGGGCCGGCTTTCCACACCGGTTTCCAGACCCAGTGGGGTCTGGAAAACACCCCGGGGCCCAAACTTTTCCAGGTCGCCGGCCAGTGGGGTCCACCCATAGCCTGCTGGAAAGAGATTCCAGTATCCCAAAAAACATTGGACGAATCCAGACCAAGAAAAATGGCAGATTCTTTTCGAGTTGCATACAAAGAGGAATCATGTCAGAATCCTGATGCGAATCAGGGCGTCTCCTAGTATTTCTTAGCAATCGTGCAATTTTGTATAAGGGACACTGGACCCATTTTCCAGCAGCAAACTTTGTGGGACCCCTTTTCCAGCAGGTGCTGCTCCCCACCAATAGACTGGAACCAGCAGGGGGGCCTGCTAGTGGTGGGGACATTTTTTCTCCATCACTAGCAGAGCCAGATGCGTGTTTTAAAAAAAAAACAAAAACGAATCAGGGCGTACTCATACTAAAAAATAATCACAATAATTAAAAAATAAATAAATACTACCTCTACATTAAATGTATCTCACCGCATGTCTATGAATCCACCCCAGAGGCGGCCAAGCGCGGCGAAGTCCACGGCCGCGGCAAGGTCCGCGACCCCACGGATGTGTCCGTGACCTCGCGGCTTTGAGGCCGCGTGGCGGCTAGTGGGGAGGGGGGTTGGGGATTTGGGAAGCGTCATGGGGGTGGCGCAACCCCAGCCCCACCCCCTCAAACAAAAAAAAAGTAAAAAAAACTTTTTTTTTTGGGGGGGGGGGGGGCGCCCTAACAAAAATTAAAAAAAAAAAAAAAAAAAAAACAATGTTTTTTTTTTTTTTTTAAATTGAATCAATATTTAATGGTAAATACTCGCATATGCTACAGCAAACCCCACACGAAAAACAGGATGTCAGCAGCAATTGCTCAGTCAAGCCTCAAAAGTCATAAGCAGCCTCAGAAGAAGAAAAAGTCTCGGAAAAA